GATCTTGTCCGTCTATGAATGTTTTCTCTACAGATAATGCAAGATGATGCCTTTTGCCCTTCCGTAGCCTTTGGGAAGTGTCAGAAGGCTTCCACAAAGAGCAGGTTTTTGGGAGTCTTGCTTATTAGGCATGGCTGGCAGGCATATGCTGAGCAATGAATGAGGTCTCTCTAAATCTTATCATTAATGTCAGTCTCTCAAAAAACTTATTTACTCCTGTCCTGCAGTGAGTACTGCACTCTCTACCTTTCTACTTGCTCTGATTTGTGTACCTGCCACAAGCTAGAACAGTCTCCTAACAAGTGATGGCTTCTCCTTCCCTGTGACTCGCTCTCCTGTCTAATTCCAAACCTCTTCAGTACTGGCAAAATCCCCCTAGACAAAAGTCAGGTACTGTCAAGTCTTAGTCTGAGTGCGATACTTTACTTAGGCTGCTGGACACAGCCCTTTTTACTCCCGAGGAATCCATCCTAGCAGAACATATTACAGCAAATCTCTGAACCTGGCTTGGAGAGCAGAGATGGAAGGGAAAAATATAGCTTTTAATCTCCCAATGATTATGAGCCATCATAACATTGTACATTTTTTGTCTCCTGTCCTCATTCATCTTATACCAACCTTCTGCACAGGAAGTCCAAAAAGCTCAGGAGGAACTGAATCAGGCACAAAAAGTTTTCCGGGAAGAAGTCAACATGAAATCTTTGTATGAATGTCTCGGGTATTATGGATAGAGCAATTTTGTATTTGGCAGCTTTGCACTCATTCTAGAAGGACACAGTTTCACTGTAGATTTTGAGGCCACATGAAGGCTTCACCTCCTGACAACAGCAGTTAGCACTGTTAGTTCATCAGTTGGGCTGGAACCGGGAATACTGTCACTGGACTTGACCTTCTCCAGAAACCACAGAGGTCCCCTGCTCTGTCCCAGTCTGCCCTTCTCCCCAGCCGTGTAACTTCCACATCAGAAATTAAACTGCTTTTTATTTTTGAGGAGCTCTCTCTTGAGTAGTACATCCTTGGTATATGGTGTTTTGTTTGGTGTGTTCCTTCACTTTTAGCACCTCCTGAGAAGAAGAAGCACGAGCATCATCCCCAGAAATACCCACCATGGCTCCCATGGCTGATCTCACTGCTGCTCCTCTTGACGTGCATTGCCCTTGTTGTTGTTCTCCTTGGTGAGTATGTGCAGGCTGGTTACAGGAGAGAGGTCTGGGGGAAGTGCTGGGATAAAGGAAGAGAAATCAGAACCCAGAGGAGAATACCTTCCAACCAGAGGGGACTTTTACTCAAGCACAATTTTGTAATGAGAAAAGGACACAAGCACCAGCATTTGGGTTCACAACACCCAAATGCTGAACATCTGAATGGTATGTTTAGGAGCAAACAGTTGCAACATGACACAAACTTCCCTCTTGCAGGCCAGCCAAACCAGATGTTATGGCCCATTGGCATGTGGGAGGCAGGACTACCCCAGCATTATGCCAGATGGTTCTGTTATACCCACCCTCTTCCTTAGAATTATGAAAAGACTTAGGCTAGAAGGGTCTTCTGGAGGTCTCTAGTCTTGAAGCACGGCCGTTTTCAGAACTGCACGGTTGTCTGGGCTTTGTGTAAAGATCTCAGGTTTTCCTGACCTGACTTTGTATATGTCTGCGTACAAACTTTCCACTGTTTACCTGAGTCTTTTCAGTGTGCCCAGGTTGCACATTCCCACCTTGCCTGGCCTCTCTGGAACTTCAGACCAATTCTCTGCCTTCATACTACACAAAAAGAACTTAACTACATTTAACAGAGGGCAAAAAGTGGAGATGGAAGCACAAGAGCCTACACAGGCACCTGAATCTGCACTTAGGCTCTCTAAGGTGCTTGGACACACTTTGCATCCTAATGGAACACATGGCTTCTCATAGTCCTAGCATCTCCAGGATAAGCTGCACAGTGCTAACTCTCACACCTCTTTAGGGTTAATTGCAGATCAAATAATTAAAAGTTATTCTTGTACATGCAGTTTGTGGAGATTGTGATCGCTGTTTCATTCTCATTTTTTGTTAAAGATCATTCATGGCATGCTTGCACAAATTGTCAGGTACAGATCCCTTCACTCTCATGACCAGTGATGTGACCCAAGAGAACAGTATGAAGCTGAGTCAAGGGAGGTTTAAGTTTTATACTAGGAAAAAGTTTTTCATCCTGGCGGTGGTTGGGCACTGGGAAAGGCTAAGTAAATAGAACTAAGTCCTTCAAGTTGTGGATGTGACCATTCACCAACACTATGTTACTCCCCAGAAACTGGGGGCTATCAAGTCCTACGAGTTTACCCTCCACCCTGGTTTCAGCAGATCCACCTTCACCTGCACTGTCTGGTGCTGATGGAACAGGCCCATCTGATGTGCTACTCCTCCAAATTACTGTTGATATCTAGTTTAGGCAGTGACAGTGTGACACTGAAGAGCTGCTTTTTATTCACTCATTGTCCAGAGGTTTAGACTGGCAGCTTGGCTGTTGGTATGTCGATGGTAGAGTGGCTGTGGTTGGGTGTACTCAGTGCTGCAATTAATGTGTGGCATGTCCTCAGGGTGTGTCCTTGCAGTGTTCCTTCTGCTGTGTGAGAATTGAGAAGCAAGATTGTCTCTTTGTGGCTGGGAAGGCAGCCACGCCAGTTGTTTGGGCCAGGAGAGGAGATGGCTGGGACAATGCTTGGTGTGGAAATGGTGGAAGAGGAGTGAAGGCCAGAGAGGCTGTGTGAGGAGCCAGGAGGAAGGGGTAATGCTGCCACCTTTCCTCTCCCTTTCCAGTGGTTCCCTTCTCCCACAGCAGCAAGCAGCCCACAGCCCTGCAGGAGAAATTCACGGCGTGGGAGTGCGACTCAGCGGTGTCAGAAAACAAAGGTCAGTAGGGCTGGCAGGGGTACAGGAGGTCTTTGGGATGGGGACAATGAATGCTGAGATCTGCTCTGAGAGCAAGTGGCAGCAGGAGCAGACTGGGGAGAGGCAGACTGCAGAGGAGGGAAGCAGAGAGAAAAAGGGTTTCCTGCTAAGAGCTTAGGGGGAGGAGAGGCCGTGTTAATGATGTCCTGGAGGGCAGCGTGGCTGTGAACTCTGACCAGACAAAGGGGACAGCAGAGAGTGGCCCAGGGGAGGTTAACAATGGAGTAGTAATAAAAGAGCAGCTCCAGTTAGGGAAAGAAGCAATATCCCCTGTTTCCTGGGGCTAAAGGCCTAAAGGAGACTGTACAGGGAGTAGACAATTCAGATCACCAAAATAACTTAGTCAAGACCTGAGTTCTTGCAAGAATTACCAATTGTATACACAAACCTGACTGGTCATCCCTCAAGCAATAGGAAAAATGTATCTGCACTCTCCTTGTTTTTCAAGCACTTTCTGTCAGGAAAAGTGACTTAGGAGAACACGAGCACTGTCCCTGGAGAACTTGGATCTTTGAAATCACAATGTCTCTTGTTGCTAGCATTCATTGCATTAATTTCTATGTTCTTTCCCTACACAGGCCAAGGCTGGATATGCTGCCCAAAGGGCTGGAAAAGGTTTCAAAACAGCTGCTATTTTCTGTCCCTTGATAAGATGTCCTGGGCTGAGAGTGAGCAGAACTGCACTGGGATGGGCTCCCAGCTGGTGGTGATCAACAGTGAGGAAGAGCAGGTACATGCACAGGGCTGAGAGAGGGGCAGAGCAGCCACAGACACAGTGTTGGGCCCTGGAGGGGACTCAGAGCTCCTCCTTGTCCTGCACTGGGTTCTATGTGCCACCATCCTGTGACGGTTTGGACTTGGCTCCTTGCCAAATGTTCGAAAGCTAGGACAGCAGCCCCCTTCCCCCTTCCTTTTTTCCCTTAGGTTAAAGGGGAAAGAAACTATAAAAATTAAAGAACCCACAGTCAAGCTGCTTATATAAAAATATATCTATATTTACGCAAATTACAGTTATATACAGTTAAGATGCTATATACACAGAAAAAGGGGGTCCACCCCCCGCAGGGATAGGGAAAGGGAAAAAGGGGATAAAAGGGAACAAAAGGGATACCGAACAGGTATATTAGATCAAACTATATTAATAACTAACAAAACAGATCTCACCACGTCCCCTAGAACAGTAGGATCGGCAGTCAC